GTTAGAGTTGAACCCTTTGTGTCTCTCTGGCAAGATGTTCTGCTCCTGAATCAGCTGGGTGGGTCTTGCCTCTATCCTCTTTGCAGGGAGTTCTGCTGAAGGGTTCCATGCTGGGCCTGAGCTCTGGGTCTATTCAGGATCCCACAGCCCCAGGTCCTTTCACTCACTCGCCAGGCCTGCGCTCTGGGTCTGTTCAGGATCCCACAGCCCCAGGTTGTCTCACTCGCTGGGCCTGCGCTCTCTAATGGTGTTTTTAAATAGGATATCATGTTTGCATCTTGTACAGCAATTAACCAAGAGGAAGAATGCATGCAATGTGTTGTTATTGAAACTGTCCTACCAATTTGATTTGAAACTGTCTCATTGCTATTTATTTATCAATAAAATTATGGAAAAAAATAAAAATGAAAAAAATGATTCCATCATTTTTCTTATCTCCTGTATTTTTTAATCAATGTCTTCTTTAGAAGCAGTTATTAATTATTTTACTGAAGTGTTTTTTTTTCAGATTGGCTTTTCTGTAGTTCATTCTTTACTTCAGGTGCTGTGATTTCAGAGAATCCTTTTTTTATTTCAGAAACGAAATCTGCTCTGATTTCCTGTATAACTTTCTGCTGTTGCTTATTTACTTTCGACACTGTTTATTCATAATTTGAGCTGAGCTAGTAGAAAAGAATTCCTCTCTGATTCCCTCCATAACTTTCTGCTCTTGCTTATTTACTATGGATGCTATTAATTCATACATTTTAGCTGAGCTACTGTCCTCTGCTCTTGTCCTTTGTGGGCATTGGTTTTCTTCCATATGTTTCTACATTTGATTCTTTACTGCAGGTGCTATTAATTCAGAGATTTCTTTTTTCATTTCCTATCTGAGTTCCTCTATACCTTTCTGCAGTTGTTTATTTCAGAAGCCATTGATTCAATGCTTTCAGCTTCGTGATTCCCAATTTGTTCTGTGTTAGTGTCCTATGCACTTATTATAGGTGGGCTTGGGTTCTGAGATTGCGTTTTGCTCCTTCTCATTGTCATTTTGTGTAGCACTGTCTTCTGACCTTTGTTGTAGATCTTTGGTGCAGTTATACCCTTAGCACCTACTGAAATTCAGGTGCCGATCTATAAAGTTTGGATTTGTCCATCTGTGCCTGGCTTGGGTCTGGCTGCTGTGCTCATCTCCTTCCTGTTGCCACCCTTGGGAGTGATCCTGTTGTGCCCCTCTGGCAAGATGTTCTGCTCTTGGACTAGCTGTATGGTTCTGTCCCCTACACTCTCTTCAGGGATTGCAGCTGCAGGGTTTCACCCCAAGCCTGTATGCTAGGCCTGAGCTGAGACTGGAGGGGACAGTTTGGCATAGCGGGGAGAGGAAGCTCTCCCACACACTCACTGGGCCTGTGCTAAGACTGTATCTGGGGGTCCCCAGAATGTAACAGAAATTCTCACTGGGCGAGTGGTTTGGTGGTGGTGCTGTGGAATGCTTTTGGGGAGTCCCAAGGGACTGGAAGAGGGTCTCTCCCAGTCTGTGCCTGGGCTTAGACCAGCAGGTCCTGTGGGTGCAAGGTAGTGGGAAGCTCTCCCACACACTCACCAGGCCTGGTTTAGGACTGGATGTGGGGTTTCCCGCAAGGCAGCCGTATTTCCTACTTGGTGGGTGGGGTTGGGGTGTGCTGCAGTTTTGTGGTGGGTGTCCCAAGGGGTCAGAAGAGGGTCTCATCCACTCTGAGCCTGGGCTTGGATGGGCAGGTCCCCCTGGTGCAGGGTAGCTGGCACAGGGTACCCAGAAGCTCTCCCACACTGGTTATTCTTATCCACATCCTTCTATAAAACAGTGAAGTATAAAATACCCTTGGATCTGATTTTTCTTTTGCATTTTGTTTGGAAAATGAGGAGGTGGTATGTTTATTAATTTATAGTGTATGTAATGGGGAAAATAGAGAAACACAAGAAAGTATAACTTTTGAATTTATTGACAGTGCTTTCAGTGTACTTGGTTTTTTCCAAAAACGTGAAATAAGGCAACAAAATAAAAAATGGTACGTCATAATAAATATACTCAAATAAATCGCTCTTAAATAAACCATATCTATTCTCAATACTTCTAATAGTATATAGCAATATTTTGAAGCTTTCAAAGGACTTGTTCTATCATAAAAATATTTAATTGTGTTGATGATTATAAAACCAAGCTATTTTGTTCTATAATGTTAGACTACAAAATCAAGTGATGTATATCAGATAGAAATTCATCATTCCATGAAGTTAAGGAGATTGGAATGAAGGCATCCCTTATTTGGGAGCTCATGATCATCTATCCCTAGTGAGTTCATACTTTTTGGAAGTCACACTTTGATTCTGAAAGGCTGTACAAATTGTATTCCTCATGATAAATTTCAGGGAAACAAAATAGGAGAGAGTACCACAAACCCTAACAATTTATTTATCCCCTTTTGGTGGCACTTTCTCTAGAACTGTCACATCAGTTTCTGTTTGCAGTTTTTAGCTAGCGTGCATAACTTTCAGATGGCCATTTCATGGCTGTAGTGGGCAGTGAAGGAGTTGAGGAAGTATTTCAGGAGCTCATACTGCCACCATGAATATACGTTGGGGTTCTGCTATAAAAGAAGGAATGGAACAAGTAGTAAGTGGGGCCATAGAAGTCTAGGTCCAGTTCATCATAACTGTGATATGTGGTTGTAAAAAATGTCATTAAACAAAAAATAGAAGCATATTGAAAAACACAAAGATATAACTTTCTGTGCCTATTCAGAAATAAATATGTATGTGAACATTTTCTTAAACTTTCCTGAAGGATCTAAGAGAACTGAGTAAAAGGAAGACACTATGTTCTGAAAATGGGAAAAAGAGAATTGTAAAGCAGTCATATATACCTCAAATGATGTACAATTTCAATAAATTTTCCCATAGAGCATTCTATGTATATATTTTTTGTATTTAGTACAGGGTCAACAGGGTCTCACTACACAGATCTGACTAGTAGTGATCCTCCAGTTTTCAGCCTCCGCGTGCTGAGATTACAGGTGCTGGCCACCAAACCCAGTCTCAGTTACTGTCTCCATGCACCCCGGAAATGGGGCTGGAATAGTAGGCCAGGGATGGAACCCAGGTCCCTGTGTCTGTCTAAGCAGGTGCTTTAATTTGCTGAGCTATCTGACCAGCTGTAGCACATTCTATCTTGATGGAGCTTGGCAAGCTGAATTATAAATTCACCTGTGGATATACCAGACCAGAGAACACATGCAAAACTTGTAAGGAATATTTTTAACTGGGGATTTTTAAATGATAAAGGGATTTGCTGCTTTTCTTCAGGAAATCATTCACCCTAGGGGTTTGAATGGAAATTAACAGACATTTGTTGCCATTTCACTTTGCAGTTTATTACAAAAGAACGTTTCTACACGTCAACACTTAAGCTATCTCTCTTTGCAATCTTCCCTCTTGTAAGCCAGGAGGGGCCTTCTGTTCTCCGTCACAGCCAGGGGCGGAACATTTTCTGCAGCTTGGCTGTGAGCTGCTCCTGGCCAGTCTTGGGGGAGGAGCTGCATTTTACCAGGCTGCAGCTAACAAGAAGCGGCAAGGTAATGGCTGTCTTAAATGTAGTTATTTGCTAGCGACTTGAGAGAATCCTAGGGTAAAGATAAAAAATATAGTGACTACAGCCTTAGAGTAGCAGGAAAGGTGTGTGATTTGGTGAGAACTGCTGGCATTTTGTAGGAATTGATCTTCGGGAATTTGGGCATCTCCAAATGCTTCATTAATCCACAGGGAGAGAGGACTGATCAGATTACAGACTCTAAACTAAGGCTTAGGGCAGCCTGTTTGCTCATGCTAATGTATTGACTTGATATTCTAGGTTTATAATGTTATTCTTATATTGCTTAAAGTATTAAATATGTATTTATGCAGAATAATAACTGATAAAAGTGTTTGACAGCATGAAGGGAAATACAGTGATAAGCCATTGATACACAGACTGTTTCACATGTACATGATCATGCAAAAGGAGTCACATATGTAATTGAAGACATTTGCAGATGTATATGCAAAGAGAAAAAGTCTGGAAGAAAATAAGTCCCATGTAACTGTTCAGCATTTATGGGTAGTCATGTTAGTTTTTAACACAATTTTTACCCTATTTCATTATCACTACAAAAGATTTCTTCATGATTGTTGTTATAATATTGAAAGAAACACAAAGCTAAAACAACATATTCACTTTTTCAGAGAAATAAGCATTCAATGCAGACATGTTCCTATGTGGAAATTTTCTAGGCCTGATGAAATGGGGATTCTGGTTGCTGTGTTGAATAAAGCCCTCCATGTGTCCTCATTGCAGTTAATTATTTTGGGCCAAAACCACAATCTGTATCATCTAAGTTTAAGAGTGAGCAGAGAGGATTTGGGCTATTGCTGTTGACCAATTTAAAAAGCATTATATAGCAAGATAGACTCATACATTGAAATGCTATGTATCTGGTGAATTAAAAATATGTACCTCGACAGGTAGTAGCTTGAAAATGCCTGCAAAATAATACAAGATAAAGAAAGAAAATTACAAAAAAGCATAAATGATCTCCTTTAAGAATAATTGCATATACTAGTTGTATGTATGTACATTATTATAAGCTATATAATGAAAACTGAAAATCTATATCTGCATAACAACTGATTATATTATTCATATAGTGATAGAGACAGGGATGGTGTTTCTATTGTCTGTTTTTTTACTTATTAATTTTATTTTGATATCTTCAGAAAGTATGAGACAAATTCACAAATTTTTAAAAACATTTAAGGTAACCTACAAAAAATCATGTAGAAATATGCACTGAGATGTTCAAACCATGTTGGTCAATTCTGAAGCTGTTTTAAAATGACACACAACCATTTATGCATTTAAATAAATTGTGACTGGGTATTCTGTAAAGAGGATATCCATAGTGGTTATTTATATAGAGCTGTACTCTTCTGGGATCTTTTCAAATGTAATAAACTACAGAACATTTGTATAATAAGAAACATACTGGCTGAAGAATTATGATTTTGTTATCCCATATAACAAAAACTTAAATTTATCAGATAGAATTGCAGAAGTCTGCAAAGGATGGTGCAAGCTATGGTGGTTCCCTCATCCCATAAGAAGGATCGGGTCTTATTTTGTTGTGGAGAAAATATATGTATATGTATACACACACAAGATAGGGTACATATACAACTACTATCTCTTAGTTCACTAAGAAGAAAGGTATGTACTAATACTGTTTAGACAAGATGTCATGTCTGCATCTTGTACTCTGAAAAACTGTGAAGACAATATGGAATGTATTAATCATTATAACTGTCCTCACGTGTTTTGAAACTGTTTCACTGTTATTTTATCTTTTTCATTAAAATGAATTTTTAAAAAAAGGATCAGGTTTCCACTGAGGTCTTGCCAGTGGACCAGGACAGACTGCAGTTCTGGTTCTCGTCACAAGATGGCTCCTGACAGAAGCTCCTGTTTTCTCCAATAGGGTAAAGCAATGAAAGCATTTTGTAGTAGTAGAAAGTGAGACATTGTATACAGTGTAGCTGAGATTCCATTGAAAAATTTGTGGGCCTGAAGAAGAAATAAGGCCCCCTGGTGAAGACATGAAGATCTGAACAGCAAAATTAGTCTGACTCAAGATGCCATAAAGGTGTTGATTCTAACTCCAGCTCCTATTTTTTATGAGAAAATAATTTTGGCCTGAAGAAAATAAAGTTATAATGTTCCATATAATATTCTATATTATAGGTTCATTGCTATAGTTCAGTGGCATAAGTGCCTGCCTGGCAAGCTCAAGGACTTGAGTTGGACTCCCGGTACAAAAACAAGCATACAAAATATCATATCATAAGAAAATACAGGAAAATAAGCATAACACCTGCATCAGGAGTGAGATTTCACCTCAGCCTGTGATTCAGAGTAACACACCTCCTAGAGTTCTGCTATGAATGTTTCCTTTACATTTTTTCCATGTCATTGATTTGATTCCCTTTCTTGCTTTTGTATAGCCTAGGTTAACATCGGAGGTATATGAGACCTGGGCAGTCAGCCTGTGGTGCCAGTTGAGCCCAAGAAAGTTGGTGCAGCCACACAAGTACCCAGCAGGGTGAAGTCTCCTTGAAAGGAGAATCAACTGCGTGGGATCAGAGGGACAGGACTCTACAATCGAGGTGACAGAGGGTAAGACTTCTCCATTCATGAAACACTTCACACTGTTGGGTTGACATCTTGAAGCATAATATATTTTGCTTCCTGTTTGTGGCCATAGCATTTTAAATTAACATTTCACGTTAAAATCATATTTGATTGAGAATTCCAGGTACAATCCAGTGTGTGTGTCTCATTCTACAGCTAAAATATTTGTAATTAATAATCACACATTCTTGTTTTGGGAAGTAAAGTAAAACCACTATGCAAAATTCATACAAGAGACCTATTCAGTGGTCTGAGGTTCCAGCCAAAGCCTGACTCTCAGTTCCTTGACAGCTGCTGTATCGAATCCGTGGCCACAGCACCCGTTCTCAGTCTCTGCCGACTAAGACTGTGCTGTTTTGTACAGCATAGTCATTGTACTGCTGTTTGGATCCAGGCAGTACAGACCCTGCTGTCTTCATCCGTCTGCTTGGAGGAACAGCAAAACACTTGAGATAAGAATTACAGAACTTGGGTTCAGGTGACATAGTGCTTTTCAGTGAGCTATGCTTGGGTAGGTCACACTAGGAAATTTTGAGAACTTATTGGAAATAAAACTTTCATTGGGGCTCTGCCCACTAGCTCAGATGTTTAAGTGCCTGCTTAAGCAAAGCACTCAGGCTCAGGATATTGTGATTCAATCTCCAGGTCCTCAAGTCTTACCAGGCTTGCACTTAAGGCATCCTGAGCCAGCCAAAAACCTATCCATCTCAACTTGGGACAGTGTTCTAGCTCAGCAAACTAAGCGCTTGCTTAGGTAAGTACAGGGGCCAAGGTTCAATCCCAGGCTCCACATGCCACACCAGCCTCACCCCTGGGCATGCTGAGGCGGTGATGGAGTCCAGGCATGGTGATGCACGCCTGTAATCCCAGTACTAGGGAGGCAGAAATCAAGAGGATCACTAGGAGTCTAGGCTGTGTAGTGAGACCTTGCACACAAAAAATCCTAAAGACTTTATGAAGTGAATGTAGACCTTTCACGTAAGGATGAAGGCTAGAAATCTAAGGTACTACAAAGGTTGGAGAACACTGTGATAGGTATTATATTAGAAGCAGGAAAGTATGGGTGTATCCAGTATCATACACAAATTCCCTGATATCAAAGGAACGTTCCACTTCTGCTGACATGTATAGAGTTCGCTTCTTAATAAACATATTTGTGTTCTTCAGTCTAAAGGTTTATAAATGGTTTTCCTGTAAGTATCCCACATTACATTTGCTGCATTGTTGTCTCTCTGATGCTTCTTTGAGCGTTTTCCTTTCCAGTTTGTTTCCTCTGTTTATTACACCCCAACTCTACTTGGGAAAATACTTTGGCTTATACATATATTTCCTTTTCCCTTTTCAGCACTTTCCACTATTGTCCAATTGCAACAGCGTGTTGGAGCATCCTCAGGAAATCGGGGTGGAGTACAGCCGGCCACACAAGCCATAAATTCTTTCTAGTTCTAAGCTGAAGACTCTTTTGTAAGACTGCTGCTTTGGTTAGGACCTGATTCTGTTTAGTGTCACAGACAGACAGGCAGACACATAGACAGCCACCTACCTCAGTTTCTGATAGTGACTTCTCAGCCCACAAATCTAAATCACAATGGATGCTGAATATGTCTTATGTAATTGGAGAGGCCAGATGTGGCCAGCGAAAGTGTTATCTAGGTCTAAAATTTCATCAGCTGAGGGAGAAAGTGCATTGTACCTAGAAGTTCAAATACTCTCACTAGATGAAAGAGTAAAGGTAGAGAGCACAGGAACAAAGATCCTAAATAAATCAGAAATTGAAGCCATTATTTCCTCCATAGCAGTACCATCAGAGGTCAGTGCTCTACCTAGAGAGGAAATGCCTTATGGAAGAGCACTAAAAGAGGCTCTGGATATCCTGAATAAGAGAAAAAATTTGAATCAAGCAAGCATTACAGATGAAGAGACTGCTGCACACTCTGAAAATGTACGCCATGATCGGTCTTACTTACCACCTCGTAAAAGGTATAGGAAGCAGGAAGAAAATGTATCAAAATGTCTTAAAGGGAATGAAGACCAAAAGTCCCTGTTACTCTCTGCAGTGAGCGACAAATCTCTGCCTCATGGCAAAGCAGAGGTACAGCCAAGTGTTCATGCTATACAAAATGAAGTAGAAATAAAGTCACCACAAAATTACAGGCATTGCCAGACTTTCTCTTTGCTTTCAGAAGATGATGGTAAAAATGAGAACAGGAAACTAATCTCAAAACTGATGGCTAAAAATTGTACATTGGAAGAGGAGAGTGAGTACGTTAAATATGAAAAGTGTGTTGCATCTTTGTCAGCAGATATCCTCAGTGCATCCAACCCTTCAGAAGTGGAAACACAAGACACGAGCCCAAATACTCTGCCTGTTTCCTCCGAAGGCTCTACCTTCTCTGAGACTATTGAAGACCCTGAAGAAGGTCCCTCAAATCCAAATCTATGCTTAGATGCCAGCCAGAATCCACCTTGTGTGGAGTCAGAGGTGGATACTGCCACATCCCCTCCAGCTTGCTCAGGGGAATGTGAGGCTTCATGTAGCGCCCCTAACCCTGTTGTACATTATTCATTTCTTGTAAATAATGAAAGAAGTCTTCAGAGACAGGAGATTGGGGAATTTGAGGAAGACGCTCAAGCTTCTGATAAGGCACTGCCTCTAAATCGTGCTAGTGCTTGTGCATTAGATGACAGAGAAGAAGATGAAGAACTTCCTCGCTTTCTTTTACATTATGAGCCACGGGCATTTGAAACAGGAATGGTAGTCTGGTTTAAATACAAAAAGTACCCCTTTTGGCCAGCAGTGATAAAAAGCATCAGGCAGAAAGAGAGAAAAGCAAGTGTGGTTTTCATTGAGGCCAGCATGAGTCCAGAAAAGAAAGGTGTTAGAGTCCTTTTCCGAAGATTAAAGAAATTTGATTGTGAAGAAAAGAAAGACCTAGTGGATAAAGCCAGGGAGCAGTACAGCGAAAGTATTGACTGGTGCATCTCACTGATTTGTGACTATAGGGTTCGAATAGGTTGTGGATCTTTTTCAGGTTCTTTTCTTGAGTATTATGCTGCAGACATTAGTTATCCAGTGAGGAAAGTAATCCAACACGATACTCTAAGGTATAGATTTCCAAAGCTGCCTAGTGAAGATACTGTGGAACAAATGGTTGTGACTTCCCAGTCCAAGAAAATGTCCTTCCAGAAAATTCTCCCTGACCGCATGAAGGCTGCTCGAGACCGAGCCAACAGAAATCTGGTGGACTTCATTGTGAATGCAAAGGGCACAGAGAGTCATCTTCTGGCCATTCTAAAAGGCACAAAAGAATCCAGATGGCTGAAGTCATTTTTACATCCAAACAGGTGCACACCCTGTATTGAAACATACTTTGAAGATGAAGATCAAATAGATGAGGTGGTGAACTATTTGCAGGAAATCTACAAGCAAATCGACCAAAAGATGTTAACACTGATAAAAGATGACAAAATTAATTTTATCCTGGAAGTTCTTCTGCCCGAAGCAATTATTTGTTCCATTTCTGCTGTTGATGGATTAGATTATGAGGCAGCTGAAGCAAAGTATCTGAAAGGACCATCTCTAGGCTACAGGGAAAGGGAGTTATTTGATTCAAAAATCATATTTGAAAAGAGACGGAAACCAGTAACTAATGAAGCGCATTAGGCATCTCAAGTTGAAACCTGTTGTGTTTTCACAGATGAAAGCTTTCGTAGATACTAGTTTTAAAGAATCTGTAGCAGTTCTTTCTACCATATTAATATTCCTGACAGTGGGAGCCTTTGGCTAATGCTTCCACCTGCTTTTAATATTGTCTACGACCTGCAGATGGCACTATATTTTTATTTTCTTGTGCTTCTTCAGACACAATTTTGTTACAATGTTTCAGCAAGTTTCCTTGATCGTACCTTTCTACATAGCAGAATTCCTAAATAATGTTTATTAAAGGAGAGTACTATTTTATTTGATGGTATTTTTGTGTCTGTGCTATATAGCTGAATATGGTGTGCACAGTTATTTTAATACCGCAGTTGCACTGATAATGCATTTTAAGTGAGATAGTTTGAAAAGAAGTCCAAAAGAGACAGCACCTATATATTTTTGCTTACTTTTTATAAAACGTGGAGTTTTCTCGTAAGATAGTGGACTTATTTTTTTTTTGCCATGCCTATTTATTTTTGCAAAGAATCGTCTGAGACATAGAACCAAAGATAGATACGCTTTACTATATACCTAAATGTAATTGCCTTTTCAATAATGGTGTAAATTTCAAAAGTAAAGTAAGTTAATTAGTTTGTGAACTCTATGTGAGTAACATCTCAGTATGCTGATAGTAGTTTTGTCAATCTTCACAGTGATTGTTTATGCTATAATTCCCTGAAATTCCATTTTGGGAGAGCATCAATTCTCTAAGGGCTAAATAGTTTCTTAAAACAGACAGGATTCTTTTTGGCTATCTTCATAACTACCAGTGAATATGTCTGCTTTTATAACTGTCTGACGAAATATAGACAGCAGTGACAGTCATTGTACTGATCAGCTGTGCAGTCTATACATGTGGCTCACTGCTGAAGAACCTGTCCAATTTTATATAGATGACAGAAAATACAAGCAGCATATTGAATCCCATGTCTTTATATGTAGTCATATGTCTGAAATGAAAGATGCTTTACTATGTGGGTTATATATAGAATATTTCCAGTTGTTCTCAGTAATGTAAATTGCAAATGGTAAGGCATTCCAAATTACTACAAAGGGTAAAGGAGCAGTATCTGGGAATACAGATGTTTGTCACAGAAGAAAAATCTCTATTGTTTAAATATGATAGTTATTCCTATATGGTTAAATATGCAGAATTAAAGGCTAATACCAATGACTTGTTTACTGTAACATGAAATGCAATTTTTGTGAGACTAAACCTTAGAAAAGGTATTTTAAAACATGATGTGAACAGAAGTGCTGAAGGCTAAACAAGAACCTGTCTGCATTTTACTTCTCAGAATGAAACACCTGTCACTCCTGGGCTCTTGGTATACATCTACAAGGCAGTGTGTTCATGTAAAATGTGCAGATTTTACTATCTTGAATTATAATAAAGCCATTATATACTTTACCTTGGATTTCATCTTGTAGTTGCTATCATATTCATGCTTGTTATAGGTCATTATTCTAAATAAATATTTACTTTCATGGTTATGTTTAATTCTGTGTTTGTTAAAAAAGGCTTCCCAATTTTATGAGCTGAAGACCACACCCAACATTCTCTAAATCCTGCGTGTGAAAAATAAGTCTCCTTGAGCATGTAGCCTATAACCAGTGCTAGGGAATCCATGCCATACGTGTCACAGTGGGCTGTTTCTATCATTGGAAAATCTGAAAGGCAAGCCACATATCTCTCACATGGTTCTGGCAAATATTTGACAGCAGACCATAACGACAGAGACCAGGAACTTTGTTCCCTGGTAAAACATGCTTTATTTTTAACCCTGTGTTCCTCTGACTCCAGTATATGATACACCTTCAGATATTCTGGTGAGCTCAATCTTTTGGCTGTAATATTACTTCGTTTGCTCACCACAACAGAAGTCAGGTGAGCAAGTGACAGGTGGTGTAATGTTCTGTGCTGTTGAGAGATTGGAGGTTAACACAGAAAGGAGATACAGGTATAACTCATGAGATCCAACTACAGTGTAATATCTAAGATGAATGTATTGTGTTCTAAGAGAGAAATATTAAACTTGTAGGCTGACAGTTTGTATTTGAAAGGCAGAGGCCAAGGTTGCCTTACATCTTTGAGTTCTGGGTGTCCGGTTTGGGGTAAAGAGTGCTCTTGATATGTTCTTACTCTTGCGGCATATGTTAAAGTAAGGGGTCTGTGTCACAAAATATATCCATTCTCCTCTAAATGTGTCATTCATGGCTTAGGCATGAAGAAGCAGATGGGTTCAGCATCCAGCTTGGTGTGGACTCTGATCACTTCCATCCTGAGTAAGAGCTGAGCAAGGCACTCAGATTTCCCTGCAGTGGGACTGTAATGTAGGTTTGTGAGTCTGAGCTGAAAGCCTGTCCTGTCTTCACCACTAACAAGGTAGCTTAAGGAGATGTTTATCTTCTAATTTTTAAAGCAGAATGCTGAACTTTAAATCTAAGTTGGATTTGTAAGATTGAAAAATTACATGATAACTACATGCACTATAATATCAGGCAGTTTATCACATATCTATCTGTTGACATTTATCAATTGATCGTTGATCATTTTTTGAGAAGAAGACAGTATACCCTTGATATCTGGAGTGGTGATGAAGGTAAAAATACTTAATATCTAGGGTTCCCCAACTCCTAGCTTTGCCATTAATAACCTCCTAAACCTATGGTAGCAGTGGAGGTCAGGCTTCCTATTCATGGAGACACAGAAAAACTTTTGTCTAAGTCAGCTTCCTCAAAAGTTGGTGCATGACTTGCTCTTTATTGAAACTGACATTCACAATCTGCAACTTATAACAGCACAAAGGGCAAGATGCAGAATTAAAACAGGTGGAAAATACTTTATATTCAGAGGGCTCTAATGGAATGGACTAATATCACTAGCATAATCTGGGATAATATTTTGAACATATTTTGCAAATGTCAAAAAGAAGAAGAGAGCTCAGAACATAGTTGAACATAAGTGAGAACTTAGTATTCCAGGAACAAACACCTGTGGCTTGGGGTTCAATGACCTGGTAATGTGCTACTGTAGAGCCTTTCTCTCCCCTCATCTCCTTCTTCTTTATCTCATTCTCTCACTTTTTGTTTTGCAGTACCAGTTGTTGGCTAAATGTAGGACACATGACCTGGTACCTGCATGATAGGTAGATACATCACAGAGCTATTTCCCCCATCTTTTTTATTTTATGATTTTGAGACAAGGTCTCACTAAGTTGCTTAGTCTGACCTTAAACTTGTGATCCTCCTGCCTCACCCTCGTGTGTTACTGCAATTATACGCCTGTTCCACCTTTAAATGTAGACTATCATTTGAGCAGAGCTAATTTAACAATATTTTGAGGTTGCTAATGTCAAAGGAGTTTGTTGTGTTAGAAATGATTTACTGTAGGAGACAAAAGAACCTATCTGTGAACTGTTTTCCCTAGGAGTCAGAAATTACCATGCTAACAAATGTTGAGAAAAATCAGTGACATTCATAGGAAGCTCAATGTTTTGTTTCTCTGAAACTCATTGTTAGAAGTAAATTACATTGCAGTAGGAATAAGATTCCAGAATGTTAGGACTCAGGTGGCAGCACAAAACCCTAAGAGCAAATAAAGTATCATGTCAAGAAAAAAAGTGTAAGTGTACTGAGGTACATTTGATTGGATGAAAACTGGCAATGACTCAAAAATTGCAGTTTTGGAGGGCTACATTAAAAAGGTGGCTAAGTAGTGTATTGCGCCTTTTGTATGAAAACAAAATTTGTGAATTCTGTACACAGTTTCATGTTAAGAGCTACAGTTCAAAATGATAGCCCCCAGCGAAATTTGAATTTAACCAATTGCTTTGCTCCTAAGGCCATACCGTGTATTATATCTCTACTAGCTTCTCCATGATTGGGGCAAATTACCTGAAAAAACTTAAAGGAGGAGAAGTTTATTGGTTCCTAGCTCCAGAATATTCAGTCCACTATTGGCTACCATCAAGTCAGGAACAGCATGGCAGAAGGCCATGATGTAACAGGACTGCTTAATTGTTAATTGTTAGCAACCAGGAAGCAGAGCAGAAGCATAGTGCCAGAGGGAATGGGCTGAGGTGTCAATTATAGACTCAGTGGTCAGGCCTCTACAACCCACCAGACCCATCAAGCAGTGTGCCAAACAGCTTCACTGGGCAACTGCCAAACCAGTAAAATTAAACATTTAATTTAAATGTCAGCTTCACCCTTTATGGTCCTGATGTACACACACCATCCTTGAGTAACATTTTCCAAGTAAATACAAATTCATAATGCTTCCTAAAATCCCAAACCTATCTCATGTATACCTAAACACAAATATTTTCCCCAAAGTCCTAAACATCCCAGCATTGCTAAAAAATCCCAGTCAAAGACCCCTTTGAGAATCAAGACATATTCTTAGCAGGGAGCCCATGTAAAACATCATAAACAAGTTGCATAATACCAGAGTACAATAGCACAGGGTAAAATTTCTTATCCCAAAAAGGAATGATAATAGGATATGAAGAGCTAGATAAAAGAAAGACAGGAACTTAGCGAAGCACATATTAAGTCTTACAGCTCCATCATATCCAGCATAAGGGACGCAAGACTGGGAAAATGGGAGTTGCCATGGGGTTTGGAAGATCTGCCCCGGTAACGTTGCTGGTTTTAGTCCTCAGGGACACTTGCAATGACTCTAATCACTGCCTGCATGTTTCCTTGGAAGACATTCTATTTTTCTGGCATCTACAATATCCTGAGATCACCACTGTGCCTTCCATTTCATTCCCAGTGTCACTCATTCCATTTTCAGGGTCACATTTTCTGACCTCCAAGAACTTCCCTTGAATTCTAAGTGAAAGGCCCCACAACATAACTTTCTACTTCCTATTTTACTTTGTTCTGTGCATTGCTGCTTTTAGATTTCTAATGTTAGACACCCTTATCACTGATGTCCAGGACGTCCTAGGAGGCATGTTTTCCTCCAGAAGTCTCCTCTCACTGCTACTGCCATCTTGCAGCAACGCGGAAAAGGTGGAGCATGAAATTACAACCCTTGCCAGCACCACATTCCCAGGGCAGTGGAGGAAGGAATGAGCACAGATAGACCCTCTTCTTACCGACACTGCCATTCTGAGTAGTGCTTTTTAAGTAAGTACAGACATGGGGTTTGGAAAGGGGCTCTATTTTGGTG